CATTCGACACAGCTCTTCGTCTCTCATACGAGCTGTTCGCAAAGCTTTTGCACGTCGCGCATTGAAAGTGCGCCGTTCCTCAGCAGACATGTTATGATAGCGTAGCCTAGAAATTATTCATCGATTTTTTGCAGAAAGTATAAAAATCCTCCTTGAGCTATAGTCATTTTACTGACGAGGTCCAATTATTGGTAATGGTAAGAAATGTATACGACTTAATGGACCGAAACATCTTCCACCATCTTAATAAATAATCCTCATAAATAATTTTACTTTTACTAATTCCATAATATTATTTTCTCTTTTATTCTTCTTCCCTACTTCAATATACGTTTCTTTTATAAGCGTACGAAACAATCAAGCTTCTCAAGATCTTCACTTCCTAAATTCTTCACAAACAGCGGCAACGCCCAAAATAATTCCAGGCATTCAAGTCTATTATGCAAATTTTTCGGCCACTTCTAAATATGTAATTCTTCTTCCAAATATGTAAGTCTTTGGCTTATTTCAAGCTGTCAAACTCGCAAAATCACAGACCACTGGTCCAAATCGATATCATCTAAAGAAGCAAAACAAGTAAAAACTCCCAGCTACCTTGCACGCTCAGCACGTTTTGCTCGCTGAAGCTCCAACTTCTGCTCTGGCGTAAGTTCAGATGTTGGACCAACTGATGCGGCAGTTGCTACGGCTAAAATATCACGCCTGTTCGGTGGTGGGTTCATATGGCGAGCAGCTGGCCGATATGGCGGCGACTTGATTTCGGCACTACTAGTCATCGGCGCCGTTGATGTTATTGCAACCTCAAATGGGTGTATTTATAATTCTCTAAGATAAAAAAAGAAAAAATAGTAACAAAATTTGCGTTTTTGAATTTTTCAATGCGGTGCGACCCTATAATTACACCATTTCCCTCCTCCCACTAATTCCTAATATTTCGACCTACTTCCCTTCTCTCACTAACTTCTAACAATTCCACGAAATTCTAAATGTTTCTATATTATCTACCTTCCCACTCACTAACTAAATTGCCCTCCTTTTCCCTCCATTAATCTTCCCTATATAATCCCCTTCCTAGATCCGGACCCTCAGTTAGCTGTCTATCGCTGCTGCAGTCAAGTACCACGTGTGGAGCTTAACAGCGGAATGAAAAAAAAAGCATGGAAATTAACCGAATTTTTGCCAGCCGACTTTTTTGCAAATATTTTTAAAGAGGACAGTCCCCCCCCCCTTTGCTAATTCTTTCATCCTTGCTTCACGGATACAATCCAGTGCGGTTTAACTTACTTGTCCAGGCGGAAGCACAACGTTTCCTCCTTGTTGTTGAATGGCAGCTGCTGCAGCCGCATAAATTGGTGGACGACCACGTGAACGTGCATGTCCACTCATACTGGTAAGCACCGCTCCAGTGGTTTGATTTAGATCCGTTACGATAATCTGCAATTATTTTTTTTGATAAGTAGTGCAAGCAAAGCTGAAAGTAACAAATGAGAAGCAGCACTGCTGAAGTATACCCTTTGAAACTTAGAATTTTACTGATTACGATAAAAATGGCTTTTTTTTTAACTTATTTTCCACGGCATTTTTTGCCCACCTTTTTTAGCGTCACCTTTTTTAAGCACAAATTTCGACCCGGCACTTTGCAATGCTTTGAGAAAAGCAACGTCTAGGCACGGCGAGATATAAGCCCTGGCCACGTATATCAGGATGACGCCCTGTTGTACTCTGCTCGGTTAGGCTTGGAAACTAGGGGGAACTATAAGTCTGACCAGTAAATGATAGAGTAAAAGTTACGCAGCAAGCAGTGAATAACAAATCATACACTATAATAAATTTTGTAAACGTCACTGGCATAAAGCGCATAATATAAAAGGAAAAAAGCAAGTTCAGTGCCAAAATAAGCCTTTCGATCCCGTCTGCGGCGAAGGTTCTGATCGCAATCGGAAAAGGAAGAATTGGTAAAATTTTTAAGTGTTTTTGAATGATCATACAGCATAAGTGAGAAAAAGCATACAGGCAAACAAGAATTATTGGATACTGACCGCAATATCAAACATAGGTGGATCCAGGACGGTTTCCTGGTGGGATGGGGGGGGAGGGATTTGGACAATTTCCTTCCCCTTCCTCTCGCTCGTGCGTCC